TACTTGGAAAAACCTGCTTCAACAACAATGTATTGGATCTACCATAATAAGATAGTCAATTTTTCTTTCGTACAAGTAAAGATAGGGGTCTCATCGAAGCAAAAAATGCTGAGTTGCATAAATAATAAAATAATTATCACCCAAACTTTCATTATTGCAAAACCACATATGCAAGAAATAACAATAATGCAAGTTTTTTTACCCATTCAGTTGTGAACAAACATCAGCACAACATAATTGTTTCTTTAACCAATTATGTCATAATAATCTCGTCCCAATCAAATCCACTTGTTTAAATAATAAGCTCGGCTCAACTCGTTTATACCATATACAAGATGAATAATAAAAAAAGGCAATAACATACCTACCACCAAATTATTATATATTACATATCTAATACCAAAACCTTATTTTTTACATTTATACCATCCAAATCTTTCAAATCACATAATAACTATAACTATATTTATTTTAAAAAAAGTAAAATACACCTTCTAAGCATAGGTAAGATGACATATATGTAAAAAATTGAAGTTTATGTAAATCTTCCTAATAAAAATAGCATGGTCCCAAAAACAGAACTGATAACTTCTAAGAAATTATGTGACATGTTGAAGAAAGTCGGAAAACATGGCTCAAAGAATACCAAAGGTATGTACCACTCCCATCAAAAGCTTTTTCATACAAAAAATGAACTTTCATGATTTAAAAAAAAAACATAAAAGCTGATCCCACAGAAATCAAAGCAACTAAAAATGGTTAAGATGTTTATTGGAGTTGACAGTGTACTAGAACAAGTTTCTTGAAAATTATGCTTCAATTATCGCACCACTAACCTCATTATTAGTGAAAAAAACATAGAAGCTGATCCCACTAACCAGATACATTTTGCCATTTATTTTGCACAAATGAGCCGACAACAAAAGCTCCATTTTTTGTTCAATAAATGCAATACACTCCATTTTAGAAATAGTAGGCAATCCAATTTCAATTGTCATTTGCACTATGCCATTTGACTTTGTTGAACATCATTGCTATTGCAAAGCACATACAATATTCTTCACATAAACACAATCATATTTATCCTACACCATATCTTCTACATATTCATAGATCGTACTTCATCATATCCTCATAAAAAATAAAATATAAAACAACCTTAATATCAAATCGCAGGGAACAGAGCATTGCATCAATATCTTCTAGCCTCAACAAATACCATAAAAAATCAATAACTTTGAATAGCATGGAGACCATACGAACAAAACGCGAAAAAAAAATTGCAGTTCATATGAATAAACACTGTTCGAAGAAAGGAAGGGATGGGGAATGGAGAAGAAAACCCTCCGGATGCTTCAAACATATCACAATAACAGTGGATCTATATTTTTACTGGCGCTACTTGCATATTGATACCATATCTATGTTTTAGCCACCAAACACTTCCAAACAGATGAATCGAGTGAAATCTCTTGCCAAAATCTTAAATCTCTCGGCGAAATGGGGGAAAGGAGGGAGGAGCCGAGCGAGGAAAATGAGTTTTGTTACCTGCGGAGCGATGGAGGCGGGATCGACGCCGAATGTTCGAAGGAAGGTCGGCTGCGGGCTTAGGAGGGTAGCGGAGTAAAAAATGGAGCCCAAACGCGGAACACGGGGATATACCCGTGATCCGCGTGTAACATAAATTAAAAAAGTTGTTTTCAAAAACGCAGTAAAAACGTGATTTCCAAACGCTACGGCGGCGTTTTCAAAAACGCCACCGCACATTTAAGCTGTCCCAAACGGGCTCTTAGTTGAGACTGAGATAATCTCAAATAACGGTTCTACATTTTCATGCATTTAAGGCGATTATTGCTGCGTTTTCATGCGTTTAAGGCGATTATTGCTGCGTTTTTATGCATTTAAGGCGATTATTGCTGCGTTGACAATCTTTTTTAAGATTGTGCAGGATAATGTTGACATGCAATGTCTATTTTAGAAAAAATTATTCCATACGGGCCGATCTCTACCGTTCATCATTTAAAAAAAAAAATTAAAAAATAGGACCCATCGAAATACATTTTTGCCCTGATAAACGGCGAAGATCAGACAGCGTATGTATTTCTGCATACACTGTCCGTATGGAATAATTTTTCCTATTTTAGACACGCAAACTCATTATGAATGTAAAAAGAAATTATCAACTTTGATAAAAATTTAAGATGTGTGTAATTTAAATTAATGTTGCCCTATAACTACATCCAACAAAATGATTAATTTAATAAATTTCAACCTTTTTTAACACAATTACAAGATGTAAACAACCAAATGAGACCTTAAAGAAATGGTGATAAGCCGTAGCAACTAGCAAGAAGATGGTCCTATAACACCAGGTAGATAAAGTAGATGGAAAATGAAGATATTGTTTTATTAAGCAGTTTCTGTGGGCGGTCTAAAGATCATTAGCACATATCTACATTAAGTATGAATCGACTAAATACTGCATAAGTTTTCAAAATTTTCTGCAAAATTAATTAGCGAAGTTCTAGCAGCACGAATAGAAGAATGGCAAAGTAGGAGGCAGAAATTTGATTAGCTTACAATTTAAAAAGAAAATTCTGCATATGAACTCTGATAGAGGACCGGTTCTTCAAGTCTTCTACAAAAGACAACATTATTGTGTAGCTAACTCTTCAGATTCCACAGTGGATGACCAATATTGCAGTAAGGATTCAACAGTTAGTCTCCTCGTTGCACTCAGCATTGAGATAAAAAAGCGACAGCCATCTATTTTGTACTCTTCAAGTGGATTTCTATGCCCAAAACTCCTAACGTTCACCTGCAAGACAGTTTTTTTTTTTTTTTTGGGTAGAAAAAATGTGTGGAATTACTTTAGAAAAAAATCAAAATAATTCCCTAATTATTCCCAAATTATTTATAAGATCTGTTTCAGTTCATGTACTCCTAAATAAGAGCTAAGATGATACGTTTTATTAAATCCAATAAAAATTAAAGTTAAAATTAATGATTGCTTTTTAAAATTATTTATAAAATCCAATTTCCTACTCACCTTAATTTAGAATATTGTTTATTGGAAACATTGTCAATAATTTTTACTCTACTTTCAGATGCTTTGAGATGAAAAAAATTCATATTAAATTTATAAATTTTAACCATTATTATTGATAAATTTATTATTAAATAATGCAAATTAGAAAAATATTTATTAAAAGTTAAAATTTCAAGATATAAATTCTTTAAATATTATCATTTTTAATTTCACTGGTTAATTTTAAATTCAATTAGAGGGACTATTTTGACTCAAATTATAATAAGTTTAAAAATTAAATTAGACTTTTCATATAATTTGAGACTAAAATGACCACTCACGGATACTATTTTGATCCTTTTCTCCAGATTATTTTCCAAGACAAAAGAAAGAACTTACCGCTGAACTCAGCCTGTTCATGTTTATCAAGTGGTCTCTCCAAAAGCTATCAAGACATTTCAGCATTACTTCCCTCTGAAAATTAGTGCAGTGAACAACTCCAAACAGTTAGAGACGGGACAACTTAAAAGAATCAAAAGGATAACATGAATGATATGGTAAATGGACAAATACAAGAAGTTGAGGATAACACATTTGATAATAATATGAAACAAAGAAAATCAAAAAAAATGCGCGAAAGTTAAACAGCAAACAACAACGACTATAACTAGAAAGAATCATTTTTTAACATGCAAAAAAAAAATTTTTTGGGTGGTAAACACATTCAAATACAGCCATCCATCTTTTATAGAAATGATTCCCTTACTGAAAGTAATACATTCGAAGATAGAACAAAATGATTGATATCAATCCACAACATGAGACCTATGAATCAAACAGATTTTGATCATTCTTTTCTAAAAATGTATGATCATATAGATTATAGCTTATGAAGAATTGGATGGTGCATGATGCACATCACCAAAAACTCTATTTTTATATGATTTTGCTATAGTTATTCTGTTGAAATGATTTTAAATACTGTGTAATGCATGACGACAGAGATTCACTGGTTTGAGACCTAGAGTAATCTGCGTTATGGATAAGATAAATATTTATTAAGGGATTTTTTTAATTTCCAAACATTTGGATCATATTCCATAGTCAAATTAATTGCAGTTTTACATTTGCCCTTCAGTTTTCGTTATAAACTTTTATCCAATAATGCTTATATCCCCATTTTAGTTACTTTAGAACTTATACTTTCATCTACATTGTTTTTCTTTTGCATAGCAGAGTGAAGAATTTCAATGCATCACAAATAAATTACTTTCTATTTAACAATCTTAACTGGTAATTATGAATATCATACCAAAATACATGTTCTATAATTGATCATTGTCACCTAACTATAAGCCCAATATCGACAAAATACTTGTAATTATTTGATTTTTTCACTTTTTCACCACATTACTTACCAATTAGTGATGTTATCTACAAAAAGCATGTACCCAAACACATCACTTTGATAATGCTTAATAAGCATCTACATGGCCAATCAAAAAAGGCATTAACTCAATATAATCATACTGTAATTGAAAACTTCATAATTATTTATCAAATAATAGCAGTTAGTGCTCTATTATATATATCTTTAAAAACTTTAAGATACTTTTTAACACACATCTGCTGCTTAATATGCCACAAATTTGATTCTCCTGGTACTCAAACACAAACTTTTTTAAGATCAACAAAATCAAATATGATCATTTCCCTACTCTCTATACTTTACCATTAATTATCTTAATGCAAAAATCATTTTCATAGTATATCTTCCTGAAATGAAGCTATATTAACTATTCAAATTTTCAGTAATTCTTTGAAATCTCTATGTTTCTTTGCTTTTCTCCTATTAACTTATTTGAATGACTCATAAATTTGATTCAACTATATTTTTCTACAATCATTTGATATCCCCACAATCGCCAAATTTCATTAAAAAAATATTTTTAAGGAAATAATTGCAGTATCTAAATTCAATAGTTATCACATGTGAACTTAAAATTTTACCTTCAGGCATTTTTTAAAAAATATAACTGAACTTCAAGAAGCACAATATCGAAGGCAAGATCAAAATGGAAGGCTAAGGTATTACCTCAATTTCCTGAACGTATGTGTCTTCAAAACCAGATTCATGTACTAGCTCTAGATAGGAAGAAATCAAAAAGTCCGCAAGATACTTGCGAAGAAGATTGGCAGTAACTTGGTACCTTCCTCCCCTAGATTTCATTAAAAATCTGGTCAAATAATACATCGCTCATTTCAAAGGAAAAGGGTACGAACACAAGCCTGTAATGGTTTAGTATTTACAGCATATTTACATAGTTAAACAATCATTATTTCATAAAAAAACTTACTTTGTTGCATCATCAGCACAGATGGCAAGCCAACGTCTCAAAGAAGAAATTTTCTTGCGTATGCCTGTGTAGGCATTTGGAGGCACTGGTAAGTTGGGCAGGGAGAAAGTATCAACCACTATAGAGTTTACACCATAAACCTCTTCAAGCGATGATAGTACATCTTCCTCTTCGACCTCTGCAAAATATTCTGGATAAACCCAAATAAGAGTAAGATATTTCTGAAGCACTATATAAAAAACAAAATAAAATACAAATATTATGGTAAAAATTAATAAGTTGACTTCAGAATTATCCATTAAAATCAAAAAGGAAATAAAAATAATAAAGATGTTCTTGTTTAAATCCAATTACCATTCAATATTTCTCCACCGATTTGAATAAATTCACTAAAAAGCTTTCCCAAGTTCCAATTTCTAGGAGGCTAGATACCAAATTTGATTGTAAGAATAAGAGATCAATAAATGAACATCAAATATCCTCCACAAACAGATGAAAAACAATTTGGCTTACCTTTTTTGGATCAGCATTACTGAGCACAATGTCATCAACAACTGCCTGCATATACCTAAATGAATTCTTCAGATTAAACGCGAACCACAATACTAGTAGAGAGTGAGCTCGTGTCAAATGCTCGGTGAAATAGCATGATGTCAGTATAGAAAGTAAAATGAGACAAAATTAAGATTATTGAAAAATTGAGAGTAGCAGCAACGCATTTTTTTCAAGTAAAAGGTATATTTATAACTTTCACTAAATATGATTTAAAAGTCCAAAATATGGCTGGCTGTCTGAGTATTCTTTTATGTATATACATGAGAAGAGGAATATATGGTTAATACTCTAGACAAGAATAAACAGGAGTCATTTAGAGAATAGAATACCAATCTTTTCACGTACTATAGTGTACGCCAGCAACATGATAATCCAGATCTCCAAACAAATAAGGCATGAAGCAGAAACTTTAAGGCAATCAGTGAATCTAAAGTTTGCGGAATACAACCAAGTAATGAGGAAAAAAATTGCCCAAGTACCTAAGCATTGGTCCAGGAGATAAATTGTGATTGAGAGTCTTCACAGAATACACATGCCCCCATTTGAATGCCAATGAAATTATGGATCTCACCATTCCATTGATAGGGATATTACAATTGGGACAAGTCCACATGAAATATTAAATCTTAGTAGGTAATGAAGTTTTCACATTCAGAGGATACTAAGGGAGGCTTGAGGTGAGCTCCAGAGAAGGGATGAAGCAAACTAAGAGTAAAAGTCCCTTATGGAAGTGAGCATCCATACAATTAAGGCATTGGCTTCAAAAGTTCCAATGTGGTGAGAGATGACATTCGGCAATGACCAGTGCGAATGCAGAATGAATGAGATCAGGGAATTAGAACTAATATTGATCCAAAAAACCTTAATTTTAAGTAACGATAGGTTGGAAGGAGAGGGAAACTGTTTGTCGAGAAGGGCTCCACTTAGCCATTAATCCCACCAAATTGATGAATTGCTCTATAAGATGAACCACCTGATACTGGATTTGATGATAAATCTTACCTCACATATAAGATTCCAGAGTAAGGAAAGGATTTAAGTGCCAAGAGTTGGTGGGTATTTCGATAGTATTTTGCTGCATGAAATAGATCTAAAGGGATTACGAGGTATGGAATTTCCATTGAAGATTAATTTTTGTTGTAGAGACATCTCCCGTTGACTGTTAAAATTGAAAAAAAAAATTAATAATACTAATAATAATTAATATAAATAAAACTCTACCTATTCTTGCTTGAAGAGCCTACGAATTGCGTCCGTGCTTCTCTTCTTTTGTTTGAGGCTCTTTATTCGAACCCAGACCAGCTTCTCAATCTCGCTCTTAATAGTTCGAAACCCACAGTGACAACACAACTGTCCTGTTCATCTTCCCTATCTCGCCCTGTACGCAATTACCAAAAAAGCCTCCGTCCCTTCCTGTTCGCCCACCTCATCGCAATTAGAGAAAGAAGGGAAAGCTATGACAAGGTGGCGACATACATAGACCTTTGAAACTCTCATCTATCTCCCCGTTGCACGCAGTCCAGCCAGCCGAAACACAATCCCTGTCTCCTATATCGTTTGGAGTACCCAGACAAACCAAGCCCCACTTCGCCCCTTTTTTTCTTCATTTCGCACTACGGAAACGAATCTCGCATACAACCACACGATCACTCTATTAGTCAATTCCCTTCACTTGTTGTTATTTTTGAACATCTCTATTTCACACAGTTTCAAAACCAAAAAGAAGCCCACACCTCTAATTTCCTGATTCAAACTTGGCTTTTGTGTTCTCTGCCAGCTCTCCTCCCATAAAGCTGAAATTTTCTTTCTATATTTATAAATATATTTATATTATAAAAAAATTAGAAAAAATAAAAAGGGGAAGGGGAGAAAATTGTTTAGATTTTCATCTCAATATTTCACAGATCACCGTCGTCGTCAACATTGCCACCTCGTGCTCAAAAGTATATAAAAAACAAAGAAAATTATAAGCACCTGCCTGAGTTATTCCAACTCGAAGGGAAAATTGTGCTTGCACCACTTTCTGCATATTTTGAAGGCCCATACGAGTTTTATTGATTGTTAGTTTTAATTTCATAACAAGTTCATTGAAGGCTCATATACGTCTTATGGACTAATGGGTTGAATTTTATAGCAGGTTCATTCAAGGCCCATACGCATTTTGTAGACTGATGTGTTAGAAGATTTTTTTACAGTCACAGTGTCTCACAACGCTGACCATGTGCGTTTTATAGACTAATGAGCAGGCCAGACACTCTCCTCAATGCTCCCTAAGCAAGGGAGATGTTGGGAGACTGTCAAAATTTTGGAGAATTTGGACTCACAAAAAAACTTAAATTTGGAAAATTGTTGTAAATATGATAATAAACCAAAATAAAATATAACATAATTTATAAATTAAAAGGAAATAGTCAATCAATATATCATTCAAATGATTTCAAAATAACAAGATCGAATTTAAGCAAAGACCCACATAAGGCTTGCAAAGGACTCGATGACACAATTAATTTTAACAAGGCATTATAATAAATATTCAGATTATAATATTTCACATTCAGTAAATTGAAGGAAGTCTTATAATTGGTTCTTTAATCGATGCTATGCATTTAAGGAAATCATAAATAAATCTAATTTATGTCAGCAAGTTTTGACAAAGCATAAAAACTCATTTATGAAAGCGAGCCAAACCTTGTTGATCATTCAAAAGTTCAATAAATTGTAGACCATGACAAATAAATGTCATATTTTTGAATAAATTATATGAACTAAAGATGGCATATCGCCACAGCATTCACAATTCAATCATGCAAACAGATAAAAGGCGGTAAAAAAACTCATAATGAAAATTTTGTATGCAGTCCAAAAGCATGGTATTTATGCAAACATTTTTTATTTTAAAAGATTTTTGGCTATATGTATGTATATATACGCGCGCGTGTGTGTGTGTTATTTCAATAATATTTTCCAAGTCAAATACACAACGATTCAAATTTTGTGCAAGTATTGAAAGACTTGTATAAATATAGTTTGAATACTTTCAAGTTACATACCTATTAGGGTGTTTATTTAAAAAATTGAATTTACTGAATATCAAGTCTTATATGTACTTCTTGAAGCTCTTTTGAATTCAAAGTTCATGTTTAAAAATCATGCAAATTGTTTTAAGACATGTAAAATTATATAAATAACCAAATCCATGAAATTGACAACCCGCATGTGCTCCAACAAATGTATACAATGCCCAAATATGTGGCTCGAGAATGTTGTGTGGGCTAACTTAAAATCAAGTTTAAAACACTCATATGTATCATATGACTTTACTATGCTATGAATTTGAGAAATATATTTATAACATTATTGCTTCCAGGTATTCATTTACTATGATTAGTGCATATGATAGATTAAATGTCTATAACGAATGATTGTTACAGAAATTATGATCTAAGAAATGTCATAAGTGATGTTATAGGAAGGCTATTACATAAATACTTGCAAGTATGGAAGATAGAAAACGATAGGATTCACCATCAAACGAAGACGAAACATTGAGAACCGTTGGGATCAAACAAAGATGAAATGTAGGGAATTGTTGGAATCAAGGGAGTTATTGATTACTGATATATTGGGAGAGGTCCAAAATTTATCAATAGTTGATGTAGCCTTGGGGCTAGGAGACGACCCCTGTCATGACATGCCATAGAAATAGTTGAGATATATACAATTACAAATGACATTTCTATGATTAGATTGATAACTCTTATGAATATGTTTAAGATTACACATGAATGGATGAACTATTGGTTTTATATAGTAGTCATAATTCATATATTATAGGTCTTATTTAATATGTTTTATACGATTATAGTATGTTGTAACATGTGTTGTGAACATATACATGAGTTACGTATGAGCACGTAGGTTATTTCTTTTCCTTCTATAAAATCTTATTCTATTTTTTATTATTTTGTTGAGCTTGTTGTAGCTCAATCTACGTCGTCGTTTTCTAGGAATGTGGAAGGAGTACCAGGGCGGGCAGTCCGATGTGACAACAATTTTCGCATTTCATTGTTTTGGGAGTTTACACAAACTTTTGGAACGTATTTTTATTACTTTGAATTGAACAGCATTAATATATGTTTGATGATAAGATTTTCATGCTTTAAAGTATAAGAATGAATAATAAAATAAAATGAATAATATATATTTGTATTGATTTAGTTAGACTGATTCTTTACCCACAGAATCCTGATTTTGCAAGTCATAATGGGTGCAGATGAGAAATTGGTCTGACTAAATCGTCCGCCTTAAATGGAGGGTCGGTTGGGGTGTGATACAAATTTTATTATCTTCTAGGTTAGTCTAGATAATTAGATAGCAATCTGTGAAAACGTTTAAATAAATCTCATATAATAGCCAGCAAGCCCTAGAAAAACCTGACTTTTATAGCTATAGTTGATTTTGGCCAATATGTAATTGCATTAATTTTAGTTTGATCCACATATGTATTATCTTCACTGATTATGTGCCCAAGAAAAATCATAATTTTTAGCCAAAATTCACATTTGAAAATTTTTGCATATAATTGGCTCTTCAAAACTTACAAAACATGAAGATGATCCAAATGATTGCTTTCATCTTGAAATACATCAAAATATCATCTATAAAAACTACCACAAAAAAGTTCAATAATTGTTCGAAGGTTCTATTCATTAGATTCATGAATATTGTTAGAGCATTAGTCAATCCAAAAAGCAAAACCACAAATTCATAATGTCCATATGTGGTCAGAATGTTATCTTTGATATATCACCCTCCTTAATCCTCAATTGATGAATTCTAAATCTCATATCAATTTTTTTAAAATATAGAAGCGTCTTCCAACTGATCAAATATGTTATCAATCATCGATAATGGATGGTTATTCTTCACAGTGAGCTTATTTAGTTTCTTGTAATCAATACACATTCTGAAACTCTCATCCTTCTTTATAAATAACACTGGAGCTCCTCAATG